TGGGGGCGATATGCTGACTCTGTAAACCGCTTAGAGAGAGCTGAAAGCCCTATGAAGCGGTATATAAGTCTAACTGCTATTGCTATTGCTATTGTCTTTCCTGGCTGGAGCTGCACACCTCTGGCTCATATTTATGTGATTGTCCACCAGCACTCCAAGATCCTTTCACAGTTGCCGTTACTGAGCCAGGCTTCAGCTAATCTGTACCTGTACATTTGGTTTTTCTTGCCTAAGTGTAAGACCTCACTTTTCTCTCCCTTGAACCTCATGTTGTTGGATAGGCCCAGTGTTCAAGTCTTCCTATAATACCGTGATGGAGAACCTATGGCACACATGCCACCTGCCATTTGTTAGGGTATGAGAGGCGTTGCTGCATCAGCTCCAAACTCATGCGTGCGCTGGTCAGCTGACTTTGGCCTTCATTTTTGGCCGCTTTTCGATGAAAACAACCCAACATGCAAACCGGAGGTTTGGGAACAGACTTCCGGTTTGCGCGTTGGGCCATTTTTCTACCTCCGGAGGCTTCAGGGAACCCTTCTGAAGCCGCCGGAGGGCGAAAAACAGCCCTACGGACAACCCGGAAGTCCATTCCTGAACTTCCGGTTTGCCTGTTCGACCATTTTTCGCCCTCCAGCGGCTTCTGGAGGCTTCCCTGAAGTCTCCGGAGGGAGAAAAATGCCTTATGGGCAACCCAGAAGTTGGACTTCCGGGTTGGCCATAGGGCCATTTTTTGCTCTCCGGAGGCTTCAGGGAAGCCTCCTGAAGCCTCCGGAGGGCCTCCAGGAGGGTGGGAGAGGCCATTTTCACCCACCCCAGTGTTGAGGACTCAGAAAGTCTTCGAGTTACGACTGGGAGGCCAGCAACAGTCCAGGCTGCGCCTTGATTGGCTGGGGCGCAGCATAGCCTGTTGCTAGCCGCTAGAGCCACCCGGATTGGCTAGGGCGCAGCGTCATCAGTTGCCAGACGCCGGGAGAGCGCCCATTGGTTTCCCCGCTCTGACAGCCTGTTTAAATAGCTGTATATAGTTGCTAGAGAATAAACCTGATTTTCTGGATGTCCTGGCTCTCATCTCTTCCTTTCCTTCGATATACAAAACCCAGGCTCTCAGAAAGCTTCTGGAGCCTGGGGAGGGCGATAAACAGGTCCATTGCGTGCCAAAAGCGGGGAGAGGGCGGGGCCCGCGCATGCATAGAATTATGGGTGTGGGCACGCCCACGCATGACTCCCCCCGTGCTCCCCCCATTTTTGGCACGTGATAGCAAAAAGGTTATCCATCACTGCTGCAACAGAATTCTTTGCTCTTTTCTGTTATCCTCAGTTTTGATTCTTTCCTGTTAGATATTTAAGGAATCTCACCCATGTTCATTAGGACCAAGTTGGTAATCTGTTCCTAATCTCTCCTAGATTGGCCATGATGGGGCTACGCCAGAAAGCTCCTGGCTCTTGGATGAATTCAGTGTCACAGTGCCAACTAAGGGTGTGATATACACTTTTGTTTGCAAGTGCTGGCTGGCTCAGGACAGGGGAGATGGTCTCACCTCACGTGTCTTCAACATCCTGGATGCGGATTGCATCAATATTGGCCTAAAGGTTAGTCTTACTGAAGGAACTTCTATCTCTCGTTTGAAGCAAACAGGTTGCAGGTAGTCCTCAACTTACAACCATTTTAATGACCGTCCAAATAGCAACAGCACTAGCACTTAAGTTTATATACTGCCCCTTGGTGCTTTACAGCATTCTCTGGGGGGATGGTTTACAGAGTCAGCCTATTGCCGTGATGGCGAACCTACGGCACGCGTGCCACATGTGGCACACGGAGCCATTTGTCAGGGCATGGCGTTGCCCTGTCAGCTGACTTCGGTCTTCTTTTGAGGCCATTTTTTGCCTTCTGGAGGCTTTCTTGAAGCCTTTGGAGCGTGAAAAACTGGCTCTACAGCAGAGGTGGGTTCCTACCAGTTCGCACCAGTTCGGTAGAACCGGTTCGTCAAATCTACCGAACTCGTTAGAAGCGGTTCCACCAAAGCAGGCCACATCTACAGAAGAGGTTCCAAAATTTTTTGAAACCCACCACTGACACTCACACACAAACACACACACACACACTCACACAGAGAGAGAAAGAGAAAGAAAGGAAGAAAGAAAGAAAAAAAGAAAAAAAGAAAAAAAAAGTGAGAGATGACAGAAAAAAAGAAAAAGAAAAAGGGACAGAGAGACAAAAGGAAGGAAAGAGAGAGAGAGAGAGAGAGAGAGAAAATACATGGCTGGCAAGCCACTCCCACAAAGGAGGCCACACCCACAGAGTAGGTTCGAAAATTTTTTGAAACCCATCACTGCCCTACGGGCAAACCAGAAATTCAGGGATGTACTTCTGGTTTGCTTATAGGGCCGGTTTTAGCCCTCCGGAGTGTTCAGGGGAGTCTCCTGAAGGTCCCTGAAGGCTCCGGAGGATGAAAAACGCCCCTACGGACAAACTTCCGGTTTGCTCATTGGGTCGTTTTTTGCCCTCCAAAGCCTTCAGGGAAGCTGCTTGAAGCCTCCGGGGGGCTATAACTGGCCTATGAGCAAACTGCAAGTCCGTTCCTAACTTCTGGTTTGCCCACAGGGCTGGTTTTTCGTGATCCGGAGGCTTCATGGAAACTTCTGAAGCCTCTGGTGGGCCTCCGGGGGCAGAGGCTGTTTTTGCCCTCCCCAGGCTCCTACAAAGCCTCTGGAGCTTGGGAAAGTGAAAAAAGCACGCCAAAAATGGGTGTGTGTGTGTGCTGGTCGTGTACGCATGCACACTGGAATCGTGCACATAGCATTATGGGTGCAGCAGACCCCCACACAACCCCCCTGCGCTCCCCCTGCTTTTGGTACGCGAGCCCAAAAAGGTTTGCCATCACTGGCCTATTCCCTGTTCTGACCTGGGCTTCCCTCAAAAGCACGAAGCAGATTCCTGGTCCCGACAAAACCCCTTTTATTAAACGAATGTGAATTTCTCTCATTCACATTCAGCAAAGTCCTGGCAAATAGTCTTTCAAAGGTGAATTTATGACCACACACCTTATCTAGCTTGGAAAGCTGCCATGTAAATATTTTCCAAAGAAGGTGCTATGCAAGGAAAAACTGGGCACAGAGTCTCTGAGATTCACGGACAGATCTTCACACTCCTGAAACGAATCTAACCAATGAACGAATGAATTGTTTCCTGCAAAAGCCCCCTCCTCTTTCGCTCCTGTTCTTAGCTGTTCTTTTCTTCTGGCAGCTCTGTGTATGTGGACACTGGGAACAGACTCCAGCTGTTCCTCTGCCTCACTGCTGTCTAGCTCCGAAGGCAGCTGAGAATGTCCAGAAATGAAGAGATTAACACTTGCAATTAAAGAAAAGGAAGAATCTGTCTATTATAGTATATGGGAGTTATTTTATCAATCGTTAAAGAATAAATATGAAAAGTAGAAATGAAAGCAGAGGAGCGAAATAGGGAAATTGCATTATTAAAGTTCAATAAAGTTAAGAATGCGATTGTTATAATAGTATGTTATGTTTTAGTATTGACCTAAGAATAGATAAAATAATGAATTTGGCTGTAAATGTAATAGTTATTGCACAGAAAATTTGTACCCAGACGACACACTGTTTAATGAAAGATAGTATGTTTGTATTAAAATAAAATAAAAAATTATTATGAAAAAATTATTTTCAATGGTAAGCAAGCTGTACGTAAAATAAGTTTCCTGTAGCCATTTTTATAAAGTCTCCAGAAGCTTCACTATATCACTGTAGATGAAAATGGTGACATGCTTTGGAAAATAGTTTGACTCCCTCTTCTTTGTGGCAATCCCTGAAATATTGGAACACAGCTATCATGTCTTTCTTTTCAATAAACTAGACATAAACAATTCCAGCAACATTCTTTATACTGTATGTTTTAGCCTCCAGCTCCCTAATCATCTTTGTTGCTCTTTTCTGCCCTCTTTATAGAGTCTCCACATCTTTTATTTTTTTTGCCTTGAAGATCAACATTGGTGATCTGGTATAATTTAATTGTTTAGAACTCTTTTAAACTCCACCCAAAGTGATGGAGTCTAAGAAATTGTAGGAAAAAATCTCTGAAAGGCATCCGATGGCCTACTCTGAAATTATATTGACAAACACTGCTCGTTTTGATACTAAATTCCTTTGAGATAGTTGCCAAACATTTCTCCTTTAATGATAGCAATGATCATAGCTTATATTTGATTAAGGAAATTAGCATTGTCAAACAGGCAGTGTTTGAATCTGCATAATCAAATACATGTATGTGTTGGTGTCAGTGGTGAAATTCAATTTTTTTTACTACCGGTTCTGTGAACGTGGCAGGGGAACGTTACTGCAAAATCCCCATTGCCTCCCCACTCCAGGGGAAGGATACTGCAAAATCCCCATTCCCTCCCCACTCCAGGGGAAGGTTACTGCAAAATTCCCATTCCCTCCCCACTCCAGGGGAAGGATATTGCAAAATCCCCGTTCCCTCTCCGTTCCAGGGGAAGGATACTGTAAAATCCCCATTCCCTCTCCACTCCAGGGGAAGGATACTGCAAAATCCACATTCCCACCACACTCCAGGGGAAGGATACTGCCAAATTCCCATTCCCTCCCCACTCCAGGGGAAGGATATTGCAAAATCCCCGTTCCCTCTCCGTTCCAGGGGAAGGATACTGTAAAATCCCCATTCCCTCTCCACTCCAGGGGAAGGATATTGCAAAATCCCCGTTCCCTCTCCGTTCCAGGGGAAGGATACTGTAAAATCCCCATTCCCTCTCCACTCCAGGGGAAGGTTACTGTAAAATCCACATTCCCTCCCCACTCCAGGGGAAGGATACTGCAAAATCCACATTCCCACCACACTCCAGGGGAAGGATACTGTAAAATCCACATTCCCACCACACTCCAGGGGAAGGATACTGTAAAATCCACATTCCC